TTTTATGGATGTGTTCCATTAGTCTTCCATTATTATACCTGGCAGTGGGATTCTATCTTCTAGCCTTCATATTTGCCAATACAGCGGTCGTGATAAGCATCATTGTTCTACTATTTGTAAACTGCAGTATCTATCGGAGCCTTCGTGAACACGAAAAGAATACTGAACATATTAGAAGCAACCGTGATCGGCAAAAGTATCTTAAACGTGAAGAGAAGATAACAAAATCCTTTCTGTTTATCATCCTTTCATTTTTAGCCTGTGGCGTGCCTTCGCTTGTGATGGTCTATGTTATTAACTTATGTAACTCATGTAGTTGCGTTCTTATCCATTGGTTCCGAGATCTGCAGTATTTATTCGTGCTACTCAATTCTGCTACGAATCAGTTTCTGTACGCTTGGCGAATGCGCTCATTTCAGGCAGCATTTTTAACAGTTCCCTTCATTCGGTGGACAGGTAGAAAATTGGCTGGAAACAAAATCGATCAAGTTACCGTAACTCACACGGAAAGTGCGATGGAAGAATCTACGAATAAGCAGGGACGGAGAGAAGGAAACGTATCGGCCCAGGGCGAAAAAGAGTCGCAAATCACGGATCTCTATCATCGAAATTCCACCGTCTCAAAGCACGAAGATTAAGCAAATAACTTGATACTAAATCCTGTTTATACGAGGTAAAGAATATCTAAGAAGAAGTGCGCGAGGAATCGAAAAAAGTCAGCTCAGTCTGATGCATAAACAAAGGCCAAAGTTTCTGGCATCAGCTCTAAAAGCCGCGATTTCATCAACCTTTTTCCTGAACAGTCAATGAGAAATAAAGACCTTCATTTTTGATCTACCAAAGCAATCGCGACTTAAAAACGAGTCTAATAAGTAGGGGATTATTGTGTTGGTACAAACCACCTAAAAATGTGTCAAAATTCCGAAAAATGGTCAATAAAGTTAAACTCGTGGCGCGCAATTTTTCTTGTTGGCCTCTCGAAGGTGATTAGTACTTACTGATCACTTCCGAGCAAACCAATCAGACCGTGTAAAAAGTGGTATTCACCTTTTGGTAAAATCCACTTTCCAAGATAGCAAATAAGATGGGTACATAAATGGCCGTGAACGAGAGATCTCAACAAACTGACATCAGGGAGGGGGCGGGGGCAGTTGGCGGCATGAATTTTCAGCAGAGGGTAGCTTCCCTTAAACCTCTTCTCTTACCCACTTCTTTGAATTTAAGGGTAATCCTCAAGCGGTTCCAGTAAAGAGAGAGTATAGTTAATGTAATGAGTGGCAAATTTTACACCCACTGCACTTCACAATCCAGAAAGAAATCAACAAAGAGCTAAACAGTTGCCATATGAAGAATATTTGATTCAACATTTCGATCAATTATTCTTCAAACTAATCGGAAAAAGTGCTATTTCTATGTTTCAGGTTAAAAATTTAGAAATATGTTAGGACATCGGTAAAGCAGCGGGAAATGTGGGTAAGTCGGTAACAAATCTGACCTCATTTCCGGAGCTATGTACCAGTCTCCCTCAAATTCCCAACCTTCAGGGGCCTGAAATTTTTCTTTAGGTAGTGGTAGCTGTGGACGGAAAATAAATTATGTACCACCGCTAATAGTTACTTATTAGTTAATGTACAAACAGAAAAGATACCAAGGCATCTGGAAAAATTCTTACAGGATGAACACAAGTGCAATCTGTTTAGAGGAAAGAATAAATGTGAAACAGTCGTTTTTTGTTAGTGCCTGGTTCAGAGCCCGAGTACAAAGTTTTGGCAGGGTGCCCGAATTCTGGCGTGGGTGCTCGAAAATAAGGCGTGTTCATATTAACGCCCATCAAGAACCGTGCACGGGCACCGTGCTCGAGCAACAAGTGTGAACGATNTTTAGCTACACCATAAGCGAGATAGCGCAAAGTAAACAACCTTTATAATGCAAATGTAAATTAATTTCAGAAAGAAGAAAGAATCTCGAATTGTCATTAATGTTTAAATTCCAAACAATTATTTCAACTGATTAGCTTAAAAATTGTCTAATATAAGACCCTTGCCTAAAACAGCACCTATGTTCAATAACATCTATAAGAAAAGTCCGAGACACCTGCTTTGGTCAGAGAGCTGGAGATAAAAATTAATTCAAACTTTGCTTAAATCTGAAATGAAAATACTTTTAATCAGAGCACCACAGCCTGCACAGTTGTGATTTGCCTACCTCGCAGAGACCTAATTAAAATCTATAGCAAAGAATTGGAAACAACTCGCTATGTGATTGCTATGAATTCGCTCCGGAAAGAAATTTAACAGCTGGCCAGCTAACCTAACAATTTGCAAAAACCGCACAGAAGGTAAGTCAAGTCGTCCACTGATTCCTGCTGAAAGCTAGCCCAGAACTGCGAAATTATCGTGCACTGAATGTTTACCACCTTAAGAAGAGTGAAGTGCGAAGTATCACACAACGAAAAACGAAAGAGGTATTTTGCTGACTCGAAGCATAACTTCAATCTGGTCAGTAAATAGGATATACTATAGAATCATCGATATAACAAAAGGAAGGTGTTAAGCGGTTATTAACTTATCTGTCTTTGAAGGCGAAACGCCCCGATTGTAAAAGAGCAATGAAATCGTTTTGTGAGGAACTTCAACAATTTGAAATTTTGACACTCATCGAAGCTGAAGATTTCTACCCCACGTACGTCATAAATGGTATTATAAATGCATACCTATCCTATACGACCATCATGCTAAACAGTGTCACAATCCACGCGACGTGGAAAGCCTCGTCGTTGTCAAAGACGTTAAAAACATTACTTCTTAGTCTAGCTATTTCTGATCTTGGTATTGGTCTCGTCTGCCAGCCTTTCCTAGCTACATTGATGGTTAAGTGGTTACAAGGAAACAATCCTGGTTGTGCCACGTATGACGCCTTTGCCTGCACTAGCGCCTTCTTTGCATTTGCTTCGTTCTTCAGCGCTGCAATGATAACATTAGACAGATTCTTAGCTATTCATCTCCACCTCAGATATCGAGAGCTTGTGACGCACAGAAGAGTTGCGGCAGTGGTGATCATATTATGGGTATGCTGTGCGGTTTTTTCGTTCATTACTTTGTGGATCCCAACGCCAATTATTCGTTTTCTATTTGCTGGTGTTGAAACGATATGCCTCGTCATAACATCCGTACTTAACATCAGGATATATTCAGCCGTGCGGCATCACAGAAACCAAATCCAGTCTCTCCTGCAGGTACAACGGACTGGTGAAATGGCACTCGCACCAAGTGTTAAGAAATCTGCAGCAGGATCATTTTATATCTATCTTGTGTGTTTATTGTGCTTTTTGCCACAAGTTTGTGTTTTCATTCTAGTGGCAACTGCCGGAGTTAACGATGTTTCCAAGATTTTGTCGGTTTACACTTTCACACTGATGTTTTTTAATTCGTCTCTAAACCCTGTTATCTACTGCTGGAAAATGAGGCACATTCGAAATGCTATCATAG